TGCCACTAAGGGCAAAACAATTGGAGCTCCAGGGAAGCTACATATCATGCCTTCTCCTAAATCCCCAGAAAACAATTCACCATCAGAATACTTCTGGTGCACAATTACAAAGTGAAACAATTGTCCAGGCATTGGGATCAAAACAAAAGATTTACACAGCAAACAAAAAAATCAAACCAGGGAAAGTTATACTATCAGAGTAGAAGAAATACCTTTGTCACAGTCAGCTTTCTACCAAGCTGTCTGACTGCTAGAGACATTCATGGAGAAAACAGATAGTCAAATCAATGATGGCCCAGAAGATAATCTCCACTCAGTGGGGTTTGGCCTAGATTAGTGCCCACTTCACTTTTTTCCAGAAAAAGAGATTATATAATTTCATACAGTCAACAACCTAGAATAAAAATAAATACTATATCCTCTCTTTCTAGTAAAAATTTAATCTCACATTTGCTCTTAGGGAATGGTACCCTTTAAAATCCACTCTCCATTCTACATTGAGGTAAAAGCTTTAAATCTTAAAGCAGTTTACACTAATGAGAATGAACAGAGCTCAATACTCCAATGTCATTTTATTCTCACTACAAAGACATCTGTGTTTTCTTTAGGGTTATACAGGAAGAGCTGAAGTCAAAAACGGAAAGCAAGAGAATAATATGGAAAGAGTACCTCAACTGATGCAAACTGAATTAGCGTCTAAATGATTTTCCACTGAATTGAATTTGGCACATCATGTTGTCCTTAGAACCACAAGTTCAAACATCAGCATAAAGGTTTACATTTGCTCACAAAGACTTGTCAACTACCAAATGCCACTTAGTGTAAGCAGTTGAGAATCACTGTATGAAAAATGATACTTATGTTTATATAGGAACATTATTATTGTTAGTCAAACAAATAAACACTTAGTTGTTCTCTAAGCTTTCATGATTTTCCATAGTCAGTCTTATGTGGAAAAGCAAGTGCTTAAATAGGCAGAGCCTGAATACCTGAGTTTCCCTTACCTGATAATGAGCCTGAGCTTGCTGTGCTGAATTCAGGGTGACATTACAGAGTTTACAGTACAGGGGCTTACATAGCTCCTCCAGGGCAGAGTCTTGCTCCCCTCCCTTAGGTAATTCTTCTTCCCCAGCCAGAGGCAAGGATGCCTCTTGCCCAAAAGGCTTCTGTGGTGGAAGCTGCAAGGTTCCTGTAGACCTGGTGGCCACTGACATAGGAGGAGAGGATGAAGGTCGCTTAGGTGGAGGAAGCCCGGCCTGTTGCAAGAGGATCATTGGGTAGGAAAGCTGTGGGCATAATCCAATAGGCGATAAGAAGTTGAGTCTTCAAATCTAAATCAACAGCAAACACAAACAAAAAACAGTTAAAAATGAGACCTTAGCAACAAGATATATAAATGACATCATCATCTGATTCTTTCCCCTACTTTTCCAAAACCATCTTTGGGACCTCTTTCCTTTTGTTTCATCTAGCAAACTTTCCCTGCTAGTTCATTCACATTAACACGAAGCTCTTCCACTGAGAATGGTTCTATAGATTTGGCTTTATTTTCCTTGAAACAGCTCCAACTGCTGTCCATCCCTCTAGTCTGTGAACATTAATAGCATTGCATCCATAGCTAATTAAATCTAAAAATCACATGGCTGAAATGGACATCAAAGGTCACCTCATCCAGACCCCTTCCCTCAGGCATACTTAAGCACTCTGGATGACAATTATGCATAGACAAAAAGAAAAAAAAATGGCTAAGATCTTGTAAAATATCTCTTTTCCATCTAAATGATGGCAAGACTAAAAAAAAAAAAGAAAAAAGAGTATCACTTCTGAGAATCCTTAAAGCACTTCCACAACTAGCTCAAATACCAAGCAGCTGTAGGAATAACTCAGAATTAAAATGTGACAGTAATAAATGGAAAGTATGCCTGCTAGCCAGGCTCAATGGCACATGCCTGTAATCCCAGCAACTTGGGAGGCTGAGGCAGGAGGATCACAAGTTCAAAGCCAGCCTCAGCAACTTACCAAAGCCCTAAGCAACTTAGCAAGACCTTGTCTCAAAATAAAAAATAAAAAGTGCTGGGGATGTTGTTAAGTGCCCTTGAGTTGAATCCCCAGCACCAAAAAAGAAAAAGAAAGTATTCAACTAGCAATATTTATTTAGTTGAGCTAATGATTCCTTAGAGCAGAGGTTGAAACAAACAGCCTGTGGGCCACATAGAGCCACAGATGTGCTATTTGGAATACCGTGTTTTGTTTTGCTTTCATTTTTAAAATTGAATTAGTTGTCAATACTTAAAAATCAAGAGATCTGTGGTTTTGTGTAATAAAAGGATGATTTGGCATCGGTGGTCCTGTGTTTCTCCAAGGGAAATAATTAGCAAGTTACTACTCAAAGGATTGTCCCTCATAGCCAGGCCTGCCTTCTCCAGGCCACATCAGTCACCCCTCAGACTGCTACCTATAGTTGATGATACCATCTCATATATACCTCCTTCAAGAGGTAAACTATGTGCAGAAAACAAGGTAGCCACATTGGTAAATGTCCAATGGAATAATGAATCACACTAAAATAAGCTCTATCATAATTCCAGTTTCTTAGTCTTCAGACAATTTCTTTCGCCTATTTTACAAAATAACTGATAATCTCTATTTTCCTTAGAAAAGACCCAAAATGGTCCACTTTCTCTTCATTCTTTATCCATGACTTTTCCTGCCTCCCACCCAGATGGTATCTTAATTCTGACTATCTCAAAATGAATCATGGGTACACCCTTTTGAGTTCCCAAGATTCTAATTAACCCAAATTAGAATCCTTATTTCAAAATCTACAATTCCCTCCACTCTCAATACTATTAACACCTCTTTTCTTGGTCAATAGAATATACCTATTTTTAGCTGCTGGAATTTTCCATCAGGATGAAATGTATATGTATGGCAGTATAGATGTTCTAAAATGAATCAAGTTTCGAAAAGTTAAAAGAGGATGTCTTATCAAATTCAATAAATATATATCAAAGAGAAATTGTAATTAAGTAACAACTTTTATACTAAATTCAAGGTCTGGGGGCAGGAGAAGAAATCACTATAAGTGGGAACTAATGTGGTAAAGGACAAAATGCAAAAATCATATAATCTAATAATACTTCTTATTAATCATAACTTAGAAAAGTGATACTATCATTTGACTCACAAGCAGGAGTATGCTTCCCATATCTCCAGGAACATAAACAAAAAAGCAATACAGATTTAAAATGTCTAAAACATCAGGTTCTCTATAATGGTACTATTTCTCTCGATTAAAAATCAAGCAAAGACATTCAAAAAGCAAAGACATTCAAAAAGCAAAGACGGATATGGATATTTTTGAAAGGGAAACTAAAGAGACAATGACCAGCTTTTTTAAAGTTTGACAACCTAATTATAATAACTGATTATGTTAAAGGTTACCTAGCCAATGTGTACAGTTACACTGATGCTAAGCTGCCATAAACATGCAGCTGGGTCTTAAGAGAAAAGGTATAGAAGGGTGTCAAACATTCGTATAAAGAAAATCAGCAATATAGACAGAAAATCAAATGCTACTAATTGTTGAGACAAGTCTGGACTTGTTTTATAAAAGCTCACTCCCACTGGAGGAAACTCTAGTATGTGATTCCCCCCGATGTTATCTACAGGTTTCCATCAAAATAAAGGCCCTTCAAGGCACAAAAATACAAAAAGCTTCCTTCCAGAGGAGTGGAATTAAAAAAAAAAAAATAGTCTTGCCAAGCACAGACTTACTTACCTGCAATTGCATTTTTTATCTTATCTAAAGAGTAGCTAGCTATTCCGAAATTAATTCTTCTGTTATATTTAACAATCAACATAAAATCAACTCCCCTGAAAGAGCTTTATGTGATGATTGAAAGAAGTATTACTGCATTTGTAAACAAAAATTAGCAAAAACTACAAATCTAAAATAAAACCAAGCCTTTGGTGAATGCGCAAATGATGGAATATAAAGACCCAAAACATATGTGACTCAGATCCGTTCGACTGTTGCATTGGTTTAAGAGAGACTAATCTGAAAGCTGATATAAATAGCTATTCCTTAGATCTTAAAAACCATTCAATTTGATCCTTGCAGTAGCATAAACCAAGGATTTATGGTGGTTAATGTCCTAGTTGGTAAAGGTTTTGAGAGGACACTAAAATCAAAGCTCCACAATATACCTGTTTAAAGAAAATGAATTATTGTAACATACTGAGTTTTCATGATTGGACTGGGGCCTACTCTTCACATACTGATTTGAACTCAATCGCTTTCTCATTTGGAGAAATCCACAGAGGAAAGAGAACAGAATACAGAAACAGGTTTCTGATATCTCAACAAACTGGGGAAGACTGTCACTGGGAATTCTGGAAACGAGGGAAAGTCAGGGCAGCATTGCTCAGAGGTCATCAGAACGCAGCAATAAGAATACAAGCGAGAAAACCAGAAAAACGATCAGCAGAGGCAAGATATGTCATATAAGCAAGACCCAAAAGAACGAAAGAAACTGGGAGGGAAGAGGCCTTGGTAAACGGGCAAATATTTTCCAGTCTCAGCTATGTCGGTTCCGAATCCTAGGGAACCGTTTACACAAGTGAATCAAAGCTACAGATACCTCAGCATCGCCCACATACACCTCACATTCCTGAGATGTGCATGCACACACACGAACACACACACACACACACACACACACACACCTCCCCCCTCAATCCCCTAAGGATGCCATCACGAAAGATGGAATCCCCCGACTCCCCTCGGGTGAGGACTAGTGCAAGGGCCAAGGCAGCTGCAAGCACAAATGATCCAAACAGTACACGTGAAATGCTCAAAACAGATAAATAAGAGCAGTCCAGGCACCGTCACGTGGAGGGCAGGTGGAAAAACAGCGTGAAAAAGGAACCTCCAGTCCTGTGCTCCCGGATCGTCCTAAACGCCCTGAGGCTCCCAGTCGCCCGCACTTACCGGAACCCCCGGGACGCGCCGGCAGTCTCGGCGCCGCGTCCGTCCGGGACGCCCGCCGCCGCCAGCCCTGCGCGCCCGGCTCGACCCGGCTCCACCCCGCCTCTGTTCGGAGCAACTTTCTCCGCTTGCGGCAGCCGAGCCCCCTCCACAGCTGAAGGCTGACTGTCAAAAGTCAGTCCAACCCTACCCACAGGGAAACAGCTGCAGGAAGTGACTGCGGAACCGGGAGGCGGCGGAGGAGGAGACTGAGGGCGCCGGGTCGGCGTCGCAACTGCGCATGTGCCTGACGGAGCAGGCCCAGCGGCAGCGACGGAAGGCGGCGGCGGCGGCGACGACCACGACTGCGGCTTCAGCATCCCTGGCCACCGCCAGAGCGTGGGGCAGGTGCTTCAACCACAAGTTCGGGGGCTTCGCACTAAGACCGTACAGGAAACAAAGGCATGAGTCAGAAAAAAGGTGCACCACTGCCCGTCTCTACCTACAACTCCTAAGAGCTGTTCACCATGGACCCTGGAAATTTGATTCATAGCTGAAGCCTGGGCAGAGCTTTTGCAACTTTCATCTCTTTTTTACGAAGGCCAAACTACACCTCTCTGCACTTCCGCCCCTGGATGGAGGAAGAAGAGCGCAGCTGCCCGCATGGTGGCCTCCCGTCGCACAAGAACCCACGCACCTGCCCTCTCTCCCCCCTGCACTAAAGTGAGCAAGACTTGTTGGAGACTTTTTCTCCTGACCAACGGAGCTTCACCCTCAAGGCAGGAAGAACCAGGAAAGAGACTGACTAACGCTGGGATACTGCATCTCTCTCTTTGCCAACTTCGATACCTTCGAGGTTGACATTTCAGCTCTAAAATTCTAAATAAGCTGAGGAGTTCCAGCTATAAAATGCTACTATTTTTAGTACTTTCAGCATGTAAGATGGGCTGGTTATTATTTTTTTTAATCTGTGGTAAACTAAACATAAATTTACCATTTTAGGAGTACAGTTTGATAGTATCAAGTATATTGCACTGTTGTGTGGCTGTTTTCATCACTAAAATGCCAAGGAGATCTTAGTAAGATGTGCTCTAGTGTTAGGCAAATTTCTGCAAAAAATCAAGGCTTTTTCTTTGGCAGAATCATGCCATATCCAATACCAGAAACAAATCAGCAATCATTTTATAAGTAAGGATAACCATTTAGCAAACATGCACAGCTAGTGTACAATGATGGCCTTTGGGATGAGTAATCCATCAACTGAGTTGTTTTTCCAACTGTGTATGTACATATACTTTATGTGTCCGATTTTTAAATGGCCACATTGCTTTAAAAAATAAATAAATGCAGCTGAAATCCACTTTGCAGCACTTTTTCTATATGGCTTTAGCCAGTGGTAGAACTTCACAGTCCACACTTTTGAACTAGGACAATGACTGGGCCACCACTTGCCTTTCCATTCTTGCCTCCCACAGTTCCTTACCTTTACTCAAGGGTACCATCCATGCCACTAACTTTCCCACCTCAGTGATTTAGCTTGATCTATATTTTGAGTACAAAATGTTTTTTCTCCCCTCTTACTGCATTTTCAAATTCTACCTATTTTTCCAGGCCTCTTCCATAAGCTCCTATAGCACTTCCCCTACACACCTTGATGATACACAACATGTGTTGCCTTACATTTTAATTACTTAAAGAGATAGTTGATCTGCTCTATAAAATCCCTGACTGCAGGAAGAATACATGTCTTGGAGTTTTCAAGTTTTAAATCTCATGGTTGTATGCATTTTTGCATGTCAAGATAAAAATCTGAAAAAGTTAACTGAGGGGCCCCACCCTCCAGCTCTGCATGCACACATAAAATTCATGTTCTTTATCCCTGGTCTTATATTCTCAGGCAGCTACTGCATTTCCTTCCCGGTCTCAGAAGAAAGAAGCTGGCAATTCCACAATGTTTGTTTAATAGGCATTTGAAGCTCATGGCAGTAACAGTTGTCTCATAAATCAGAGCTTGTGGTTTGGAATAGCTGGACTTAAAAGAACTGAAAGAAAAAGAAATGGTCCACAAACAATGTATTCATCACTTTTACTGTAAAAAAAAAAATGATAAGGCTGCATAAGTTTATTTCTTGCTTGTACATTATATTTTGTGGGTCAGCCAAGGTTCTGCTCCAAGGGTCTTCTTGTCCCATGCTGAAGAAGAACCCTTATGTGGGACTTGGACAATTTTCATGACAGACAAAAAGATCAGAAGAGCTCATAGAAACTTGTGAAGCATTTAGGCTGCTTCATCCATGTGTCATGACATTCCACTGGCAAAAGCCTTTCATATGGCCAAACTTCAAGTCAGTAGAAAGTCTGTTTCTTCCATAGGTAAATCATATGGCAATAGGCATGGATTATAATCCTTTTTGGGGTTGTGGGGGACAGGGTTGTGTGGTTAATCGTAAATAAAATACAGTCTGCTACAAATACAGAGGCATTTGTGTATATCCCCAAGAAAGGCCTGAGGATATACACAACCATACACACACACAGTTCCTGAGATAACTTTTAAAAAGTCATGGAGAGAGAAATAATAGAACTCCAGAATATATTTGAAGATCTAAAGATTGAGGGTATCTGAGCTCTGTTCTCATTGGGAATGTTAAAGGAACCAAGATTCAGAAGCTTCCTTTCAGTAAACCAACAGAGGGCAGCAAGCTAGCATAAACTGTTTGGGCATAAAGAGGGGTGCTCCCAGCTTGTTCTTATTTTTAGTATTTATGGCTTTAAAGACCATTCAAAGTTTCTGCAGGAGGGCTGTAGAGGGTTAAAGAGCCTATAGGTCAGAATGAATACGGACAGACCTGAAAACACAGACCAGTGACCCAAAGGCAATGGAAAAGGAGATACCAAATTTTAAGGCCAAAATCAAGAGGTGTTTGCATCTGACAATCAGATACCTGCCCTGGCCACCTGCCTCCCCACCTCACCCTACCCACTCTCAAATAATTTTGAAACTGTCCTCAGAAAAACAAGGGGGAGGCAGATAATTTTGAAGAGATAACATTTTAGCTAAAAATGGTTTGGGGACAGAAGAGATTTGGAAGTAACATAGATGAGTTACTATGAGTATGTGGAATTAACAAAATTAAAATTTTCTCTCCATAGAAATAACAGATCGCAACATTGAGGCTACAATTATTTTTTTTAAATAATTTTTTTTGCGCACTTGAATTTTAATGACCTGATATATTTATATGGCCATACATTTAGTAAACTTATGAATAAATGAAGAATTTTTTTTTTTTTTAATTTTTTATTGTGGGTTGTTCAAAACATTACAAATTTCTTGACATATCATATTCCACACTTTGATTCTAGTGGGTTATGAACTCCCACCTTCACCCCATACACAGATTGCAGATTCACATCAGTTACACATCCATTGATTTACAAATTGCCATACTAGTGTCTGTTGTGCTCCGCTGCCTTTCCCATCATCCACCCTCCCCCCTCCCCACCTCTCCCCTCCCCTCCCCTCCTCTCTCTCTACCCCCTCCACTGTATAACCCTGAGGGTCTCCTTCCATTACCGTGCAATTTACCTTCTCTCTCCCTTTCCCTCCCACCTCTCATCCCTGTTAAATGTTAATCTTCTTCTCCTGTTCTTCGTCCCTACTCTGTTCTTAGTTACTTTCCTTATATCAAAGAAGACATTTGGCATTTGTTTTTTAGGGATTGGCTAGCTTCACTTAGCATAATCTGCTCTAATGCCATCCATTTCCCTGTAAATTCTATGATTTTGTCATTTTTTAATGCAGAGTAATACTCCATTGTGTATAAATGCCACATTTTTTTTATCCATTCGTCTATTGAAGGGCATCTAGGTTGGTTCCACAGTCTTGCTATTGTGAACTGTGCTGCTATGAACATCGATGTAGCAGTGTCCCTGTAGCATGCTCTTTTTAGGTCTTTAGGGAATAGACCAAGAAGGGGAATAGCTGGGTCAAATGGTGGCTCCATTCCCAGCTTTCCAAGAAATCTCCATACTGCTTTCCAAATTGACTGCACCAATCTGCAGTCCCACCAGCAATGAACAAGTGTACCCTTTTCCCCACATCCTCGCCAGCACTTGTTGTTGTTTGACTTCCTAATGGCTGCCAATCTTACTGGAGTGAGATGGTATCTTAGGGTGGTTTTGATTTGCATTTCTCTGACAGCTAGAGATGTTGAGCATTTTTTCAAAATGAAGAATTTTTGTTTCCACTATTCTATAATAGGAATTACAGTGCCTGACAATTGTACTTCACAGGAAAGCTGTCTTTTTAGTGTAACTATTATGTGGGAAATGCTGAATTTATCCATGGAAAACTCTCATATTAAAACAAAGAAAACTGCATCTCAGATACAGCATCTATCTCCAGGATATACAAAGAAGTCAAAAACTTAACACCAAAATAATAATAATAATAATCATCATCATCATCATCATCATCATCCAATCAATAAATGGGCAAAGGAAATGAACAAGCACTTCACAAAGGAAGAAATGTGATCTGCCAACGAATACATGAAAAAATGTTCAACATCTCTAGCAGTTAAAGAAATACATTTAAAACTACACAGTGATTTCATCTCACTCCAATCAGATTGGCAATTAACAACAATATAAGTAACAATAAATGTTAGCAAGGATGTGGGGGAAAAGGTACCTTTTTTTACATTGCTGATGGAACTGCAAATTGGTGCAATCACTCTGGAAGGCAGTATGAAGATTTCTCAGAAAACTTGGAACAGAACCACCGTTTGACCCAGTTATCCCACTCCTTGGCATATACCCTCTAAGGACTTAAAATCAGCATACTATAGTAATGCAGCCACTTCAATGTTTAAAGCAACTCAATTCACAGTAGCTAAACTGTGGAACCAACCTAGATGCCCTTCAACAGATGAATGGATGGATATATAATGGAATATTACTCATCCATAAAGAAGAATGGAATTATGGCATTTGCCAGTAAATGGATTGAACTGGAGAATATCATGCTAATCCCCAAAAACCAAAGGCCAAATGTTCTCTCTGGTATGTGGATGCTAACACATAATAAGAAAAGAAGTTCACTGGATTAGGCAAAGAGGAATGAAGGGAAGGGAGGGGGTAATGGGAATAGGAAAGATGATAGAATGAATCAGACATTTTTTTCCTATGTTCATATATGAATTCTTGACTGGTGTAACTCTACATTATGTACAACCACAAGAATGGGAAGTTACTCCATGTATGTATAATATGTCCAAATACGTTATACTGTCATGTATAATTAAAAAGAACATATAAAATTAAAAAAAAAAACAAGGATAAATATTTTTCATTATTCTAGATCTCACATTAAGCAAATCTATATTTTTTGTTAGTTTATTTACTAAGAAGATAGTTCTAACATACTTTTGGTAGCATGATTTGAGACTTTGAGGAATCTAAACCATGAATCTTCATTCTGTACCTCAATCAGAAGGGGAGAAACACTCACTAGTCTGTAAGGACTGGTGCAATTTGTCAGGTCTGACTCCTCTCTCATATGGAAATTTGCATCATCATTTGAGACTCCACACATCTTTACTCTCATATTCAGGACATAGCATATCATATCATGTCTTCCAGTTCTATTTTTTTCTTTAAACCATCAGAGAAAAACTCAAAAATTCTTTGTCTCTGATTTTTAACACAATCCTTCCTTCATAATCAGAGCAGCACAATACACAAAAATCTCAAATAAAGCAAAATAACCTCTCGGATGTTTTAATAACATTTTTACTAAAAACAAAGTATAAAGGCATAATGAAAAAATTGCAACAGCAATGACACATTTTTTTTTTAACTCTGGGGCACTCAACCATTGAGCCATATCCCCAGCCCTATCTTGTATTTTATTAGAGACAGGGTCTCACTGAGTTACTAAGCACCTCGCCATTGCTGAGGCTGGCTTTGAACTTGTGGTCCTCCGAGTAGCTCTGATTACAGGCATGCACCACCACAACTGGCAGCAGTAGCACAATTTTTAATCCTCCCTTATTTCCTGTTAAGTTTTTTTAAAAAATGCACCAAATAGGCAGCAATACCAAAAGCCTATAGCCAACTACTATGAGGAAATATCCCCATAACCTTAAAATATCAGTGGGAATGGAGACAAACCATCCAGCTGCAAGACCTGTATGGCAGCAGCAGGAGAAAAGAAGAGAACCATCAGGGCAACTGGCTTAAGAATGCCTAATAGCTCGTGGGCTCCCTGGAAAGCTCAGAGGGCCAATCTAAAAACAGAGCTTTGCAGACTGCAAGAGCAGATTTGTACAATGGATACAGGATAAATTCTGGAGGGGTTGTAGCAGTGCGGTCCCATAACTCTCAGAACTCACCAACCCAAACTCCTTTTTCAGAGTGAGAGAAAATGCTTTGAGAGTCCAGATGGTATAGGTTAGAAAAATAGGAAAGAGATTCAGTTTAGTGAAGAGGAGGAGCAAAGAGACCATGGATTGAAAGTCACCATCATTGTGAACTCTACATGAGAACAAGAGGGAAAAGTAGAAAGGTTCCCTAAACCACCCACTCTTCAGCTTCTGATCAAATCTGTAGATTCTACTGTGGGCATGCAAGAAATTTAGAGGGCACAGAAAGAATACCCTCTAAAATAGTTATGAGCTCAACAAATTCCAGGCTACAGAACAATGATGACCTGATATCCTCCATAATTAAATGACACAGAAAAAAGGGGACAGGGACTGAAAAGGGAATGTACGGGTTTTTAAAAGTCTAAAATAATTTAAAATACTGGCAAAATTAAATTATAATATTTAAACATGCTTACTTGGTTATGTTATAATAAAAGGCAAAGAATTGATCACCAAATCATGCAAAATAGCCTCTCAGATGTTTTAATAACATTTTAACATTTTTTAACTAAAAATAAAAGTAAGGATATTGGTTACTTTACAGGAGGTAGAAGGGTGGGGATTTTGATTGGGGGAAGGGACAAGAAAGCTTTTTGGAATAGTCAGCCAAGTTTTGTTTCTTGACACAGGTGGCCGTCAAGAAATAGAACTTGAAATAATTAAGTTGTACATCTGTTTTATGCATTTTT